ATTTTCCTTATTTATATCTTAATTAAATAAAAACAGCGCGCTTCTTCGTCGAACGGGTGACTCGGTCGCGCTAGGTGGTCCGTTAATCATTTTTATCGGCTACCGTGCTCAGAAACGACCTTAGACGGTATAAACTTTAACGTAAATAGATACATTATTTTCAATCTTTACTTTAAAACCCAGGGTATTTTACTTTATTCTTCGCCAACATAATCAATAATAAAATTGTATTGATTATCATTATTGCTATCAATAGGTATTAGTGATGGGCATTACAACTCCTTTTATTGAATCGAATGAAGCGATTCAATTTCTCATAATGAGTCGACTCTTACGATTCGTTCATTTGAACAAACTACAAACACATTTGGTACTTCATAGTATAAATAGATATTTTTTTGTAAATAACTTTCAGATCGCATCTCATTTTATAAACATGATGTTTGTTGAAGGCTTTTGTTCCAGTCCAGTTTGATGCCCTACTACATAAATACATAATTTTCATAATTATGAAGACGGCGTCAAATTATCCTTCATTTTATTACTAATATATAAAATTGATATAATAGAACATAACATTTTGTTACTAAGATAATAATTACTTATCTATATATATTTATATCATTATTATTACCTATATTACAAACGTTTGGGTACCCAAGCTCATAGTATATAATTCTAATATTCATTTGTCAAACGTATTTTAAACGATGAATCAATTCCCACGATACTTTGAACAGACTGAACAGACGAGTCGCATTGTGATCCGATTCAATTCTTACGATTTGTTCGTTTAAATTTGATGGATCCATGCTGGCCACGATTCAATTAAACGAACAGTATTGTACGCAATGAATCAATTCTCACGACTCTTGAACGAACGAGCCATAGAAACGAACGAGTCGCATTATGATCCGATTCAATTCTTACGACTCTTTCGCTCAAATTTTAACAGATCCGTGCTAGCCACGTTTTAATTAAACGAATCATACTGTATGCCGTGAATAAATTCTTACGACTCTTTGAACGAACGAGCCGTAGAAAAGAACGAGTCGCATTGTGATCCGATTCAATTCTTACAACTCTTTCGCTCAAATTTAATGGATCCGTGCTAGCCACGTTTCAATTAAATGAATCGTATTGTACGCAATGAATCAATTCTTACGACTCTTTGCATGAAGGAGCCGTAGAAAAGAACGAGTCGCATTGTGATCCGATTCAATTCTTACGACTCTTTCGATCAAATTTTCAGGGATCCGTGCTAGCCACGTTTCAATTAAATGAATCGTATTGTACGCAATGAATCAATTCTTACGACTCTTTGAACGAACGAGTCGCATTGTGATTCAATTCACTTCTTACGACTCGTTCGTTCAAATTTTATAGATCCGTGTGTAGATAACCAGACAATTCGGCATGTATTGCTGACTGCATTATGTGTATATGTCGTTTCTCATATGAATAAATATATGAGACAACGATAATAATCTGTAGTTGTAGTTTATAGTGTATCTGCCGTTTTTCAATAAAGGTTTACTAAGTTTTGCGTTTACTTCTGAACAACAAACCAACGCCGCGCCGCGGCCGTGCTGGCCACGATTCAATTGAACGAACCGTATTCTAAGCGGTCAATCGGATCTCACCAATCATTTATAATACTCGCTCAAATGAACAACTCGTTCATTCTTTGCCCACCTTCAGTTGTAGGTATAGTCTATACAAAAAGTCAGGGAAGATTTCAACAGACGACGTCCAAAAAATGATACGATTATATATTATTTATACGATTTACCTGCTAATTAAAATGATAGACATAAATATCACTGTCATCGATCCTCTCTTTGGACAGATTATTTACCTAAGAACGGCGTATGATAGACAGTTTTGAAATGTGGCGTATCCTGAAATTCCATAGTACAACTGAAAAAACTACCCTGTCAATAATAAAAGGGCTTAAGGTAAGCATCCGACTGACACCAATTTCGTAATTAAGACCAAATGATAACATGGAAACAATTATAATAACTGGTGATGTTCAAGGAAAATGATGTAATTTCTTCAGTTTCACTAGGCATTTCTTGACCAAATTATAATTGATGGTTACTGAGTTGATGACTCTTAAGGCTGCTTGACTATCGGATAAGGTAGCTATTTCTTGTTTTCAATAGTTCCTAAGATAAGTTGTACGCATCTTTCGATGTAGTAGGTGTTAATCGTAATCGTGTAGTTCAGGCGTAGATTTTTGCCTGAAGGATGCTGTGGTAGGTGCCCATTGGTTCGTAGTATTTAGTTTTTGGCCTAAGGTGCTGCTATTCGACACAAATACTATCATGATGCATACATAACCTTTAATAAACCATTGGTTTTGTTGAAAATGTAACTAAAATGTAGCAAATATAGGATTCCTTTCATTTTATGTTCATTCAAAGGTTTATTTTAACTTGGTTACATGTTCGAGTTTCATGTTTTTGTTCAAAAATTAACTAAAATCTCATTTTATGTAGAGTATCTATGTGTTACATGCTCTAAGGAATCTATTGACTCTCCAGCTCTGTTTACAGCTTACCTATGGTAGATTTTTCAAAGTGACACCAATTAACGAATAAATGGGAAGCTGACGCGTATTAATGAGTCTCGCTTGACCGCGAGAGCGCTCAGCTCGGACAAGGTACTACAGAGAGTACCTATATTGGTACTTCCTCGGTACTCTATAAATATCAGTTCCTCGAATTTGTTAACTCACAAATTGTCTTCTTCGGTCCGATTTAATGGTGTAGGGGATAAAGGTAAGTGCTGCGGGTACAGGCCTGACAGAGGCAGTACTTCAAGGACATGTCTTTTGTAGTTTATTTACTTAAATATGCGTGTGTGTGTCTTATAAAGTATTGTATATTTTAATTAAATTAATGATTCTTCTATATTACTAGAATATTTAGCTTCGCAGAGATATAAGTAATACAGAAGTTTTTTTTTATAGAACTATCATATTTTTATTTTGTAATGTTGTTACGTCTAACAAAATAGCAGTTGAACATAAATATCCGAACTGTATTCTGTATTCAGAGTGTTTCTCTAAGAACCCTTTTTTACTTAAAAAACGGTGTAAATTTATATTTAAAAAAACTACAATCGCTACAGTTAAAATACTCAGTATAGTTTTAGGGGGGGTATAAAAATCATTGTATAAATACAGGATGGGCGTCTGATATTAGCAAAAAGGGCTTTATGAAAAACCACATATAGAAAATATGAAAAATTTTCTGAGCATTGAGCCTCTCTGTATATCTCCTAACACATTGGGAGATTTTTGTTGATTAGGCAAATCTGTATATGAGCATTTTACACAAGAAGGGTACAGAAATATTAACAGTTATTTCGAATTTTAAATGGTTTTTTGTGGTATTAATATTATACAACTACTATAATTTCTTCTAGCTTAAAAAAAGCCTCTACACTATGCGGAAAACTCTTCGAAACAGGTTAAGGTCGCATTTCATCGCCCGACTTTGTCGCATTTCGATTTATTTACAGTCTTGACCCACTTCGGTTTGCCTCGACCTATTTTCGAATCTTAAAAGCGCCTGAAACCTACTCCTGAGGAGGGCGTGGGGTGATTTTTTGGCGTTTTTTGTTGCCTCGTTGAATTTTGTTTCGTTTTGAGCTATTTCCAAAACGTGGCGGGATCTGTACCCGAGGCAAAGGACGTTTTTTCATAAATCTCAGTGAAATAAGTAAACCTAGACGTTTCTAAAATAACTGTTGTTACGATGGTATTTCTTTAATTAAATCTCGTTTTATGTTGATATATATTCCACAAAATTAATACTTGAACACGCGTTTATAATATGTATATAGATATTTAAGAACAAAACTTTTCACTTCGGGAATATAATTACAATATTTTTATGATTTAATTTTATTATAATGAATTAGTATATAATATTGTATATATAATATGTTTGTTTACGATTAATGATTAATATAAGAGCTTGATGAGTAAAATACTGGTAACATTATCAATATATCGAGCTGATTGGAAAAATTATTGATTGACCCGGTGTCAACAAAAGTATGGTCCACATACATTTTTTCAAAGCAATGTTCCTTTATTGTTCTTAAGAGAAATCTGTAAAGGATACCTACTTTTATTAGCACCCAGCATGGGGGGCTTTGATATAAATCCATTCAACTAGTATTTGTTATGAAGGGATTTAGACAATTAAAACTAGGAAAACAAAACCAAATTCGTAAACTAAACTTTGCTACAGATTACAGTATAAATGTTACTTTACCATATAATAATTTTGTGCATATTTTGTTCATGATTTGCAATACCGTGGATTATAAGCTGATAAATGGTAGACCGCTAGTTAGTCACTGGTTTTATATTTTTTTACTATATTGTAATTATTATTAATAATATTAGCCAATGATTAAAACTAAATATTCTTGTGTAACCTTCGAGGTATAACTGTGTTCATATCAGTTTTTCCATGTTTACTTATTTTTCTGAAGCTACCACAACGTTTGACATTCATTGCTTCGTGCTATTTCAGAAAATAGTATCTCCCAAATGTTTTACGAAATATTTCTGGAAATATTTCGTAAAACATTTCGGGGATAGTGTATAGGCGAGAATAATTATATTTTTATTTTATTTTGTAATAATTATTACTTAACGCCGCAAGAATGTCTATAAAAATAAGTCTTGAACTTGTCAGATAGACGTCAGACAACACACAGAGCGTTCTGTTCTGTTGGTTGAACAGCCATAAAATATTGCAATACAATGTTATTTATTGATATACGTAGGTTTACGCATTTAAGGCAACGGATTTTTCATGTAGTACGGTTGTTGTTGTCGTTGGCTCGAATGGTACCCATATAAGTTTTAATGTTCAGGATATTTTAACGGCCTAACTGTTTAGCTAATGTTTTATCAAACGGTTTGAATAAATTGTGTTATATTATTAATTGGTCATTGTTTATCTTTTTTTCAGATTTCCTGTATCGGCATAATGTGACTTTCGATAACGTAACGACAGAAGTGGAGATCTTAGATACATCAAAGTGTGCGGTGAGTAAATATATAATTTTAGTTTATTTGGAAGAGAAAAATGTCAATTCCTAAAAATAAATGTAATTTCTTATCCTCTTAAGAAATGTTCTATTATATATTTTTTTAATAATAATATACTTATTAAAAATCTTGAATTTTAGAATAGAGGTAATGTTTCTAACAATATATCTGCCTATACTTTCTATATGAATAAGTTGAAAACAGTTCAGGAGTAGATTGTTTTTTTTTAATAAGGGGGGTTTTCTTTAAAAAAATGATTTGCTATTTCTATTAACATTTTATTCTTTTTTCAAAAAAAGTTCACACAAAAGTGTTAGCATTTGGTGTGGTTTTATTATTAAGCATAACACGTCTTTGAAGTAGATTGATTATTTAGGTACTTCATATACAACATAACGTGTAAGAACCTCACAAATTATTCGCATTCATTTACACCATATTATTATGGTAGATGATAATATAATTTATTAGAAGAAAGCAATGCAACGTTAAACACAAAAGTTGCAAATGCTGAATAGGTGGGTTAAGCTTTTAAACAGCTTATTTTGTTTAGTTCTTTTTCCTCTTTTCTGTGGAATAAATACAAATAAGCTCTAAGCGTGAGTCGGGCAACGGCCTAGCTACGTCGAAACACCGGTTCCCATTAAAACACCGAAGTTAAGCGACGTAAGGCGATACTAGTGGATGGACGGGTGACCGGTTCGAAACTGTGTATCGTGCTGTTGTCCAAAAAAAAAGGCAAAAGTGTAAAATCTATTGACACACACTGCTCATTCACGCCGGTTCGAGGCCGGATGAGATCGGATGAGATCGGATATCTCGCGAGTAAGAGTCGATTTTGACACTTGCCAAGTCGGTAGGCCATTGACCATGATATGGCCAAGGATCGCGGTTCGGATTCCGCGTAAACAAAGTAGGCCCCATCCAGATTAGCCCTGACAGCAAAAAGGAGACGTTAACTGAAATCTTTACTTTTTACTTTTAAGCGTGAGTCACGTGAGTAGTTAAGTGAAATATTTTCATTTTTTTGTACAGGGTGGCGCCTCTCATACGCCGCCGAGGCTCCAAGGAGAACGACAGTTTGTATTGAAATGAAATTTTGTGAGCATATGTAGGTTAATTCAGGGCACTATTTAAAAATATAGAGAGTTCTACATGGTGTCCCCAAAAAAAGTTACATATCAAAGTTGTGTTTTTTGTAATGGAACACCCTATATATTAATTGATTTTCGGATTCTAGGAGAAAAATAAAGGTGAGTTTTATAAGAGAAGTATATGACTAAAATGTAAGGTTTTTGACATATTTAACATTTTCTAGAAATAAAGAACAATTTTTAAATTACAATAAAAGCTACCTAAATTCGAATTTACCCGGTGTAGCCTAATATGTAGTTAAACTAACTATTCTACTTTAAATCAAATTAAAACTTGATCCAAAAAGTTATACAGGGTGAGACAAAATTAATATTGAACATTGGTCACCTTTAAAAGCATGTTACTCTCTTATTTTAAATGGAACACCCAGTATATTATTCCGATATTTAATGGAGAATTCCTGTCTCTTCACAATACTATTAAGGTTGCCTACCCCTCAAACAAAGATTTTCCTAGATATTTTCATTTACATGATTTGATCTGAGTAGATCTTTATTATTTGATAAAACCTAGGTGGCTGTGATATGTCTGACGTTACTTCAACATAGCTGTCTAATTAGTTCAACTTTAATAACTAGTTATAATTTGTTGTCAGTTATAACAAAAAAAAAATTCTCAGGAATTTGCCGAAAATGCAAACTTATCCTACATCAGAGAGAATTGATATGATTCTATTAGTTGGTGAATGCAGTGTGCATTCACCAATTAATAGAATAGTTAAATGCTCCTGATTTTATCTAGTCTGGGTTTTTTTATGGGGATATGTTAAAGACAGTGTTTAAAAAACTCGACCAACTAGTGTCGACAGCATGAGATAAATTATTGTAGCTGCTTTTTCAGGTAGAACTTCACATATGCCTTTTAAAATGAAAAGATTCTTTTGAAAAGACAATCATTTTATGCAGTTAACAGGAAAGGAAGCATTTTGAGCATTTGATTTCATCCAGCTAATTTTTGTCGCATAATTATAGGTTTATATAGAGTTTTAATTCTTTAATAATTAAAATATGTTTTAAACGTGTATTTTTTTATTACCCTTGAGTATTTTACTCCACAATCTTTAATTTTTGTTAACAACCACACAGACATTTTTGTTAACAACCACACTGTTAACACAGCCACCTAGATTTTTTCAAATAATAAAGATTTACTGATGCAAAATCATAAAAATTAAAATATCTGGGAAAATCTTTGTCTGAGGGGTAGGCAACCTTAATAATATTTTGAAGATATATAAATTCCCCATTGAACACCGGAAAAATATACCGGGTGTTCCATTTAAAATAAAGGAGTAACTTGCTTTTAAAAGTACTAATGTTCCATATTAATTTTGTCTCACCCTGTATAACTTTTCGGGTTAAATTTCAATTTGGTTTAACACACACAGTGGTTACTGTAATTAAATATCAGGCTATACAAGGTCAACTAAAATTTAGGTAGCTGTTATCGAAATTTAAAATTTAGTATTTATTTTCACAAAATGTGAAATATGTCAAAATCCTTAGATTTTAGGTATATGCTTCTTTAATAAAACTCATCTTTATTTTTTTCCTAGAATCCGAAAATCAATTAATATATAGGGTGTTCCATTAGAAAAAACAAAACTTTGATGTGTAACTTTTTTTGGGGACACCCTGTATAATATACATATAATATATAATATAAGTATAATATACTATATATTTTTATAAAATGCTTTCAGTTAACCTACATACGCTGCAAAAATTTCATTTCGATATAAACTACCGTTCTCCTTGGAGCTTCCGCGGCGTATGAGAGGCGCCACCCTGTATATATGTATGCATTTGAGTAGATTCTACTAATAATAGGTAATCATTTTATAGCTCTTAATCATCAAAATCGATAAAAATCAACTAAATAAAATGTTAAATATGTAAGTTCCAGGGTGGGTTAAGATACACATTTAAAATTATTCTTGAGTATATATTTAAAAAATATGCATTTAAAAAGGTAAACGACCCAATTAACGCCATATTAAAGTTTGACCCGCCGTAGTCTCTTAAAGTCTCTTAATAATGTCAATTTTGATAATAATTTTAAGCATATTAGAAAACAAGGTTAGTTAATTTTTGGTTTGTTTTCTCTAAGAGTTTTAATTGGTGAAAAACATATATTTTTGATTGTAATTGGCGCTATTAAGAACGTCTTGTCCCAAATAACGCCAGTTTTAATTTCGATGAAGAAAAAACACCAGAAGGCTATAAAAGTTTTGTTTATTACTCATCTCAAAAATTCAATAACACGAGTTAGTAAACTAACATACATATTCAAAATAAACAAATAAAAAGTTATCCCCTTTACATAGTCCTACCCATTCCTCGTGAATGTAACGATTGCATACAAGACAAAGATGCGTGTCGAGGGCATTATCTTGATAAATAAAGATAAATCAACTTTCTTGGATATTTTTTTTTAATTCCTATAGTTCCTAACAACGCCAGTGGAAGATTTTTCACTGGCGTTATTAGATGCATATGATTTAAAAACATCTGTTATTGATTGGGGATAAGAGTCCCCTGTTTTCATTATAACTATTATATAGTAATGATGCGAACTTACAAGAGGGTAACTTCATGTCACTAAGCGAATTTTAAAGGTTATTAAATAGAGACAATCTTACATTGAAAACCGCACTTTTCGCGTTATTCTTACTGCAAAATAATGCAACAAACGTAGCGGCATCTCTTGAGTAAAAAGAAAAGATTTATATGTCTGGTTATTTTCTCTGCCACTGACAGCCACTGACCTTACATCTATTTAAATGCACTGTTTTTTTATTTTATTTTTATAATTTGCGTAAATTTATATACCGTATGATCTAAAAAATGGCGTCCAGTTGACTTGGAAATGGTGATCGGTTGACATTATCCATATAAGTTTACAAAAACCTTTTTACTTTTTTTCAAAACCTAAGTTACCGAGTCATCTCTAACGCACAGGTTAGAGATGACTTGGTAATTCAGGTGTTTCTTCTAACGTATCAGTAAAAGAAACGTATTTTCTTCTTGCCTTTAAAGAAAAAATATTTTTTGCTTAAATCTTGAGAACCATTGGATAATTTCTGGGTTTTCTTTCTTGTAAATTTAAGCTACTATCTATGCTGCCATATTATTAAGAGAATATTATATGTTTTAACTAAAAATTTAAAAAAATCCAAAAAAATTTTCTAAACATTTCAAATTTTCATTTTTTTTCGCAAAAAAAAACATGACAGATGTATTTCTGGGGTCGAAATATGCTACCACTAAAACTATTTGCACTATCAGGGTGTTTAAAATCATTCTGGGTATATGAACCGATATTCGACTATTTAAAAAAAGATTTAAAATTAAAAAACGCAGAACAAATTAGACTATAGAGGGTGCACACTGCTTACAAAACACTTTTATTCAGCATGGCGTATACGTAATTTCCATTTAGTTTGTTCTTGTATTCATATTTTTAATACTCTTTCGCTATAACATCGCAGTTGCCATGACAAAAAGTAATATCTATCAAACTCTTAAGCTTGCTTAAGTCTCTTAAGTAGTAAATAGAGTTACAATAAGTATGAGAGATATTTAATCTCCCAACAGTGACACAGTTGTTCTCTGTCATTTTAATTCCCAGGTAATGTGAATTTTCTGTCGTTTTTAGTTGTTGTCTGTCTAAATGTTCCCTGGCCTGTTGGACAGGCTTTATTTTCAATTGACATTTGTACAAAAAACATCCTAAACCTGAAATATATTGGCGATCTGTTAGATGAATGTTGCCTAGAAAGTTTTTTTTAGCCCTATTAAAGAAAAACTGTATGGATTTGTAAACTCCCCTATTTGTTAATC